ATATTTAATTTAGTGAATCATTTCTAGCATAAAATTTCCGCATAGGATAATTTTAATAATGCAAAATTTTCGTGTTTAATACATTCTTATCGAAATACAATAAAGAAATTGCATCTAGCTAATTTTTTATTTAATTTTCCATAATATCTTCTTTTTTTTTTCTTTCTAAAATTTTAATCATATTATAAATTTTTTTTTTGTGATTTCCATATCCGATGATTAAAAAGATTTATACATTATAATTATTTTAATTTCCGCATACTTCATTAACTTAATAAACACGTTATTTACGATATAAATTTCTACTTATAAAAATGTTGTTTTGTTTTTCTCTTCAACAATATGTAAATAGAAATAAATTACCAGAGCTTATAAACAAAAAAAAAAATCAAAATGAAATGCTCATTTAATTGAATAAGCTGTCGATGAGTTTTTTTTTTTTTTTAGTAGATTTTCCACTTAGTTGAGTATTAAATTTTAAAGCTTTTGTTGTATATTATAACAATATGGATATTAATAGTTATGAGAAAACCAAAGCACGAACACTATAAATACATAGTCAACAAGCGTTAAAATCGAACTTAATATATAAGTAAACAACAAACACAACAACACAAACAAAATTTATACAAAACAAAAAAATTAAAGAAAAACCAAAAATAAAAAAAAAACTGTAAACAATTTAGCGAGCATGATGACCTTCTGTAATTACTATGTTTTTAAACATAAAAAAAATAACAGAGTGAGAGAGAGAAAAAAAAAATTAAATTAAATAATCACTAAAATAATATTTTTGCAGGTAGTACAAACATACATTCTAACACATAAAAAAATGCAATGTATACACGAAACTATTTTAAAACAAGCTTTTCCGATAACATAAAATCGATTATGAATATGAAATACGATCGTAATATCGATTTCTCGTGTGCAATACCTTTTAAAAAATTTTAATATCAAAATTATTTTAAGTAACTGTAAATAATTAGATACAGGCTGGTATGAAAATTGTACAATAATTTACACAGAGTTGCCGTTTTATGCCATTTCTAATATGAAAACCACACTACACTTAGATTGCACTTTCATCAAATCACTACACATAAAATTTTCGTTTATTTTTTGTTGTGCGCACCATTCTCAGAATAAGTTTTCTTTAAATTTCATGCCATGAGAATGACAATGACAGTTCAAAGCTCATAACTTTTACATACTTTTCAAATTTTTACCATTTTCATACAGCAATTTCTTGTAGTTCTCTTGAACTTTTCTACTTAACTTGATTAAAATATTTATGTATTATCTATTTTTCCACTTAGTTGGCAAAAGGTTACAAATGTTAGACAATTACATGTATACTAAAAATAAAATAGCAAAAAAAAAGGAATAATTAATAGTTATTATAGTCTAGCAAAAAAAAAAAATTAACAATTTAAGGAAACAACTAATTATTCACGAATATTGCATGATAACCATAGTAGTAACATCTGCTACAATGTTAAAGAAGATATTTTTTAAAATTTTGCATGCGTTTTTTCTGCATACATAATAGTTTACTGATGCTCAATATTTTGTGATGATGACATTTAACATATATGATAAAAAAAAACCTGACTTTCTCTTCTTTAGAGGATTTCTGTTTGATTGAAATGTGTGAGCGTTGCTATCTATATAAGGATTTAGATTTAAGTTGAGCTATTAAATTATTATTAGATTTCAATTTTAAATAATTATACTAAAATCGTTGCATAAAATCGTTATAGGATCAATTAAAATGAACTCAGTTATAATTTATATGAGAATTCTGGAGAAAACGTAAGCTTAAATAAGAACTTTGTTTAATATTAAACTAAAATTTTCAGAAAATCATAGTGAGCTCAGTTGAGAATTTTTGTGCAAATAAAGTCACTCTGTTTTGAGTCTGCTTGAATTAAATAACTAAGAAGAAAAACGGGGTACAAAAATAATTATATCTTTGGGACTGGGTCTTTCTGTGCATAAGAAACCGTGTCGCTGTTTTGCACCATTCTTACTGCTAATGAAGTCCTTGGAATAGGGCAAACTAGACTTTTCATTGATAATATCTCTATATGGTAGACTAATTGTCCTTTAAAAATTTAATAGAAAGCATGCCTGCGTGGTAGTATTTTATCACCGGCTTCTGCCGATTTATATATACAATAGAAAAAAATTCTTTGGGTACTTCTGCAATTGTCTAGGAAGTGACTCCGTATTAATAACTGACGCTTTAAGATTCGAATATGTACGATTAATCTTTGTCTGAATCAATGATTTTGATATATAGCAGATGTCTCGTAATTTCGTCACGTATATTACAATAAATCTTCAGGAATTTTGCTCAATATTTTGGGATTCGATATGTTCGTTGACTTGCATCTCTGTTAAACCATAATTAATATTAAAACGAATATGTCTCAGAATAAGATTGTCGTTTACCGATAGTTTTTTCACAAGACTGATATTGGCTGATACCTCTCAAAACTTACTATATAAATTCTAATTATTCATATCTATAATTAATTGGATAGAGTATTAAAATATTTCTTACATAAAACCAATTTTTTTTAATCAATTAATTTTATTAAAAAAATTTAATTTTCTTTTTCTTTCATTTCAGGTATGTTTTAAAAATTTTTAAAAATGATTCATTTCATAATTCGTAAGTATCACATTTGTAATCTTCTAAATTTAGACTGATAATTTTCCTATAATGTTTATGACATTTAGACATTTAGTCATAGTTAATGTAAATTATATGTTTAACCTATTTTACAAGCAAACTTCCTCTAAAATTCTATAAAAAACAAAAAAGAAATTTTTTCTATTTTTCAATTTTAATTATTAGCCATTTTTATTTTTTAGTTTTAACAAGTTTTTTGTTTTCTATAATTGATGCCAAAAATTTTATGTAACGGAGACCATAATATTTGATGACTTTTATGTATATAATTTTGTGTATATAAGAGGCTCTGGCAAAGAAGAAATGTTCTCTTAATGGTTCGTAGTTTTATTTTAACAGCAAAACTGGACAATAGGTTTTTATGAGCTATAGATAGCGTTGCGATATTTTTGCTTCAAATTTCAAACCAAATTTCAATTTTTATAACTTTTAAGAAAAAAAAGCGTTGTCCGACGTTTTTTCTAAGAATTAGAGGTCTCTTAAATTTAAAATTTCATCTCCTTTTAAAATTCTCACAAAATTAATAAACAAATGAGCATAGCAATTTTATGTGTTTTGCAGAATTCTATTAAGTACAGGAATAAATTAAGATCCAGTTTCATTGGTTATATGAATAATAACGAGTTATTAGAGCGGCCTCTAGCCAGTAATTCAAAGCACATAATATGAAATCATATATATGAAAAATTTTGCAATTTTTTTTCTTTAATAGAATTCTAAACTATATCTCATTCGGTCAAAATTCCTGAGACCTATTACGAGCGCTATATACTATATTCAACAATTATTATATCGAAAATCTTTATTATATACGCGCGTTATTTACGTATTTAACATTTAGAATACATATATTTCACATTTTTGAATTAAACGAATTTAATATGCTTAAAATGCATCTGTTTTGGCATGAATTGAAAAACACATAAATATTTCAAATACATTTAATTAAATATATATATATAGATGTATTTGTGTGTATGTAGTAAATTATTTATAAGAAGAAAAATTAAAATGTCTGGTAATGCGTCTGATGCAAATAAAAAATATTGTGTGCAATATTCTAAATAAATTTCACAGGAAAGTGAAAATGTAATATGTATATATGTATGTATACATTTGAAATGAATGAAAATTTGTTTTTGTTATTTATTATAATTATTTTCAAAATACTTAATGAAAAACTATTATTAATTGCTGTGTATAACACTTATGTATATCTATTAACGAACACACTATGATCTAAATAAAGGGCAGAAAGTTAAGAAATTATTGGGAATATTTTTTTTGTATATCAGACGATTGCTTAGTATAAGCATTTAGTATAGCAAAATAAATGTCATTTGGCCTACAAGAGTAGCTATCAGTAAATAGAACTTAAGGCGCCATAATTTATAGATGGAAAGGGAAGAGAAAGTAAAAGAGGAAGGAAAAAATAATAATTTTAGTAGTAATAATTTAAAATTATAATATGCAAAATGTTATAAATTAAAACCAAACAACCAAAAACCGAACTGATAGTATAAAGAAATAAATTGTCACATAAATTAAGCAAGGTCAATGCGTAAATTTGACCCTAAGCATCGTAAAAAGAACCATCGAATATAAGTTAATTTCGAGTAGCATATGCGTTATTGGCTCATGCATCACATAGTCCGTACTATAAAACGGAACATTGAAAAGCTCGACCGACCTAATGTAACTGGGACTCTCTCTGTTATAAATTCGACCCAATAAGACAGGGGTAACTAAGTTACCTGTAATAAGTTGATGAATGAAAACTTTAACAGAAACCACCCCACGATAACGAAGGGACCCGAAGCGAAGGGGGCAATCTGAAGGCATCCGACCAATCCATATCACGAAGAGCTAAACGAAGGAAACGCCTTCGCATTATTTAGACTGTGCATATCAATGTAATGTTAAGGTCGATTCATATGAATATTACGAAAAAGAGATCAGATCTGATATGCGTACTCTAAAATAGGCCTCACGAAAGCAACACAAATATGTTTCACTCAAAACAATTCTCAGATTATTGGGAGTATATTTTAATAATTGAACGCTAAATATCACAGTAGCAGTAGTAGGGATTTGACATTCATTTTACACTTAAAAATTGAAAATCATTTACTAGAATGAATATGCCTAGCTCTTAACTTCTTCTTCTTCTTTGGCTCTACAGCTCCTGGTAAGCTTTGGCCTTCTTTACTATTTGCCTCCATATTTCTCGATCTTTAGCCTCTGTTTTCCAGTTTCTGACTTGAAGTTTAATGGTGTCATTTTTAACATTGTCTTCCCATCACGTTCTTGGCCTTCCTCTGTTGCGATTAAATGTAGGTCTGCTTTGTAAAATTCTATATTGTGGCAAATTTTCATTCATTCGCGCAACATGTCCTGTCCACCTTAAACGTTGCGATTTACTAAAACGTATTATGTCTTCATTTTTAATAAGATCATTAATTTCGTTTTTATTTCTACGTCTATATTCTCCGTTTTCTAATCTTATTGCACCAAATATTTTCCTCAGTATTTTTCGTTCGAAGATTCTTAGATGGTTTTCCTCCGCTGCATTCAATGTCCATATTTCGTATCGCATGTTACAACAGGACGAATTAGAGTTTTATATACATATTTGTATCTTAACATTTCTTTTTAAAAGTCTTGATTTTATAAGTTTTCTTTTCGCAAAATAACACCTGGTACCTGCTTTAATTCGGTCCTGTATACATGTTTTTATGCTATTATCATTGGATAAAACAACACCGAGATATTTAAAACTTTCCACTCCTTGGAATAAATAGTCCTGTATTAGTATATCTTGTGGTTGTCTTCGTCTTGCATTTCTGGACATTTTCAAAAATTTAGTTTTATTTTCATTAATCTTAAGACCTACTCTTTTTACTTCCATGTTTAGCATTAAAAAGGCTTCTTTCATATCGCAACATCTTCTCGCAGCTATTGCAGTAGCTCTTAACTACTATTACAATTACTAATATTGTACTATTAGAATATTTAATGTTTAAAATGTTAAACACATTCAAAAGGAACGCATATAATATACAATATTTAAGCTTCATTTATTTGTGTTTATCATTTCAGGTGTTATAACCGGTTTTCAATTTATAAAAGATTTGAAAATTTCCAAAACACATTAAAATTACAAAATATTAGATAATGAGAAATTTAAGATTGAGTAAAAATATATGTGCTTTTTTAATAATGGTGAACAATCTGTTAAACAAATCTATACCAATAGTGTTAATTAAAATCTGGGAAATGAATTTTAAATATGCAAATTTTTTTTTTTGTTTATTAATAAAATTCTACTTTTACTGTAATATTTTTGGAATTCCACACAAAAAAAGAAGTTAATTCTTCCGTTATTTCATCATCAAAAACTGTTTTAATCAAATCATTTAGTTTTTTTTTCTCGTACAGCTGTTTTCTTTCTTCTTTTATGACTTATAACTTCCTTATATGCATATTTTGACAAAATTTAAAAAAAAACAATCATACATACAAAAATATTTTCTTCATTCAGCTGTAAATATTTTAAAAATATTATCAAATATTTTATAATATTTTGAAAATTGAAAATAAATCAAAAGAAAAAAATAAAAAATCTGTTCAAATCAAAAAACAAAAAATTACCTGTTGTACAACTGTTATACAAATTTGATTGTAAACTCGAAATGCAGACCAGATAATATTTTTACCGACCGTATTGTGTAAACAATAGGTAGGTTATGTGATGGCAACAAATTTTGCATATCGAGTTTTCGGTGGGAACGTACTTCTCCATAGTAGGGAAGTGTAAATAAACTATTTTTAGCAACCTGTCGGTCTGTCGGTCTGTCGGTCTGTCGGTCTGTCGGTCTGTCGGTCTGTCGGTCTGTCGGTCTGTCGGTCTGTCGGTCTGTCGGTCTGTCCGTCTGTCGGTCTGTGTGTGCACGCGTGTATCTCAAGTTCGGCTGAACCGATTTTGATGAAATTTTATATGTAAGTTTGTTTCCACCATGGCACGGATCGATCAACTTTTGGTATATATCAGGCCTCGGGAACTGCACTTTTTAGCGGGCCTGTTTTACATTTTTGAACATTTTGAAGAAAATATTCAACCGATTTACTTGAAATTTTATATATAAGCTCAGCTCGACCGTCCGCAAAAATTCGTATGTTTTGGAAAAAATCAGGCATCGGCAACTAGACGTTTACTACGGGCCAAATATACATTTTTGTGTATATAAAGAGAAATAATCAACCGATTTCATTGAAATTTAATATATGAACTCCTCGTGTTAAAACAATGAACATATAAATTTTTTGGAAAGATCAGGGCTCGAAAACGGATTTGCGGGCCGATTTTACATTTGTCATCATTTTGAAGAAAGTATTCAACCGATTTACTTGAAATTTCATATATAAGCTTTGCTCGACCGTACGCAAAAATTCCTAACTTTTGGAAGAAATCAGGCATCAGCAACTGGGTGTTTACTACGGGCCAAATATACATTTTTGTGTATATAAAGAGAAATAATCAACCGATTTCATTGAAATTTAATATATGAATTCCCCGTATTAAAACAATGAACATGTAGATTTTTTGGAAAGATCAGGCATCGGCAACTAGACGTTTACTACGGGCCAAACATACACTTTTGTGTATATAAAGAGAAATAATCAACCGATTTCATTGAAATTTAATATATGAATTCCTCATATGAAAGCAATGAACATATAACTTTTTTGGAAAGATCAGGGCTCGAGAACTGATTTGCGGGCCGATTTTACATTTTTCACCATATCCACAGAACAAATTGATGGAATTTCTTGAAATTTGATATTTGAGTTCTGGTTGTTACCGAAACTAACTGGCGAGCATTTCAGGGAATTCGGGTAGCACAAAGCGAAACTCTACTAAGAGCCAAATTTACATTTTCCTAAGTATGTTAACTATAAGCTTACTAATGTCCTAAAAATTGGAAAGAAGTATTTAACAGACATTTTTATAATATTCTGTAACACTTTCATTTAACTAGACAATACACAATGCGGTCGGTTATGTGCTGACCACATCAGATTTTTTATTTACAAATTGTAAATTAGGTAGTCTATAAGTCTAATTTGAGCTTTAATCTATCATAAATAATATCAGACAACAAATGTAAAAGAATAATTATTTAAGTAAACAAAAAAGAAAAAATGACACAACACAATAGACAGATTCTTATTTATATTAGCAATTATAAGATTAATAATTATACTTAAATAAATGACGTATATTTGTCATTCATGTAAATTTCGTAATTTTAACAATATTATCTAACAATTCCAATTGTATTCAAAAAGTGTTAGTACTGCAATTTGCAAATATATTAATATAATTTATTTTACTTAGTTTTAAAACTCTAGGGCCAGAATTTTATATCTATTAAAATATGACGTTCTGAAAATCGATTCGATTTCCTTTAAATTTTGTTAGGCATCTCAATTGATGCGTAACGCGTACTGGTTGTGTGTCAAAGTGTTCTCATTTTAAATCAAATGTCCTAAATGAACTACGCGCTTACGTAACATATTAGAGTTGTCAATTTTGACATCGCGAATAAGACGTCACAGTTGGGGCTTATTCATCGAACTTTATTTTATATTATTCGATGAATAAGCCCCAATTAGTATATTTACTTGATACTCAAGATAACTCCCATTACTATACTTGCAAATAAGATTTGAATAACATATTAATTGTGTAGCAAACGGAAACGTTAAGTTAGTATACCTTTCCTAGTTTTAATATTTTAATTTACTCAAGAACTATATACACATGTACATATGCAGACACAATTAGATAGCGGTAAAAATTTTATATATAACGCTGACTAATTTATAAAAAAAAAATAAAATTACCATATTACTATTAAAATAATAATTTTTATTTGTATAAATTTAATGTTAATTTAAACATTTACCTGTCTAGCTTTTGTCAAACCGTCCACCAACGTATTTCTAACCTATATTTAAATTTTTATTTATATAATATAATTTTCTACCTATTTTTAACTATATTAAATGTTTTAAGAAGTAAAATAATACACATTAAGGTTTTAATTTTCCAAATCATTTACATTCTATAGAATTTATTTGAAAAAAAAAATTTTAATCTGACATTTTTATGTGATATTATGTCATTAACTAGACATATCAAAATACCTTGATGGGATTATTTTAATCTGCATATTATGTAAATATGTTTGTATTAAAGTGATGATTTTTTATTAACAATTTGACATTTTGGTATTACTAGCTCATATTGCGATTATGCTACAATAAATTTTTAAATGTTTTTAGTTGATATTATATAAAGTCTATAGAATATGTAGAATAAAGCCGAATGTAAACTGATAAAATATTTAAAAAATTTCCATATTGTAATCTCTATTTGTATAATTTGTAAAATTAAAAATAGTCTGTTCAATGTGCTATATACGTACACAGTATATGAATCGTTATCGGGAATTTGGAAGTAAAGTACTCAAATTTTAAAATATTTATTCGAAAATTTAAAACGAGCCCGTCGAAAGTCAGCCTATAATTTTATGTAAATTTAATTAATTTTAATTGCATTATAAATTAAATAAAATTTGAAGCGAAATATAGAGTGCGTCTTTTAAATTTTTATTGTAATTTTCTTTGTGAATTGCGAATCAATTCGCTTTTTAGATTATTTGTCATTTGGTTTTTTTGTTTTTCTAATTTGATCAAATTAATTTCTTTCTCCTTCACAATAAAAACAATTTTATATATGTATAATTTATTTTTAATTCGTTTATGCTGCTAATTAAATAAAAATCCTTGAAAATTTTATTTTGCAAAATTTTATTCTGGGTTTTTTTTTTCATTTCAATTTTTAAGAATTGACTTTTATACAAAAGAGATGAAAATATAATGTTAAAAATGATTTTCTTTTTTAGCCAATAATTTAATCGCTATTATTTACTTATATATGGCACAAAATAATTAAAAGAAAAACAAAAATTTCTTTAAATATTTCCCGATGAAAATATTCTGACATAAATTTACTATTCATCTGTCATTTATAAAAAAAAAAAAGAAACAAACAAATTGTTAACGGTAGACAATATGAGCAAATTATTAGAATATTTTGTTTATTGTGAATTCTTACTATGATAGCTGACTGATTGTAAGAGAATGACTCAACACACACTATTCAATAATTTTTAGCCGACTGCTTAATTTTTTTTGTTTCTTTTTTGTAATTATTTTTCTCATTACATTTTATAATTCTTTGTATTTTAGTCTTTATACTAACTACATATAAAATGTGTGCGCATAATGTTGCTTTTCAAGCTTTATAAGATAAAGTGAGTGAGTCTTTTGTCACCGAAATAAGGAAGTCAATTCTCAAGGCTGAAAAATAAATTTTTTTTTTTATTATAAAATGTTATTCAAAGTTGAATTTTTTTTTGTTAGATTTTGCATTTTGTTGTTTAACGCAAAATTGAAAAAAAAACAGCAAGTGTTTATTGTGCTTTTAATGCATAAATAAAGTTTTTAGAAAATTTAGACGTTTGATTTCATCATCAAATTAAATAAATGTTTTTATTTACTCGAAAAGAAAGTGCAGGAAATTATTTTAGTTATTCGTCAACAATATCGACGATATTTTGCTTAAAATCATACTAAGCTCTTGGCGGAATTTAGTATACGCAGAGAAATCGCGTTTGACAAGTTAATTTTTGAATGTTCCAATGTTATTGCAGTAGAAGTAAAACACAATTTTTTATATTATGCAGTGAAAAAATGTTGGAATTTATCATTACACTTTTACTGTTGCTCCGTACAAGAGTTAACAATTGTTTCAAAACATGGTTTGACATTCTTAAATTTTATTCATTTTTCAATTTTGTTCACGCGTTATTTTGATGACTGTCAAATATAGTTTAAATTGTTTCA